TTAAAAACAAGTACTTTAGTACTTTTACTTAAGTAGACATCTGAATGTAGTACTTTTACTTGTACTTGAGTAAAATTTAGCAAGGGGTATCTGTACTTTTACTCAAGTAACAAAGCTCTGTACTCTGTCCGCCTCTGGCGATAAGCTGCCGTTGAATCACAACACAGGAACCGCTGGCACAATCAGAACTCGTTACGTGTTTCTGAAGGAGGGACTTCATAGAACAAGGAAGTCATCAGGCCATTTATTGGACAGTGAAAACTACAGATAAGTAAATTGTGTGAAAAATACAGTCTTTTTTTACACGCGAAACATGAACACATGTTATATTGCACACTGTAAACACAATCAAAGCTTCAAAAAAACATGAAGAACGGGACCTTTAAGTAAGTTCAGTGATTTTTCATTTTTGTTGTAAAAAAGTTATTAATTTAGTTCATTTATATATACAGTCGCTCTAGAGAAAACTGATGTCATCGTCCAGCTCAGTTCAGTTCTCTTATAATGGTGTCTATGCAGGCAGATCAATAATATTGTTGAATATTTAATTAAATGTAAATTAATTTACTTGTGAAGACTTAAGACTTAAGTAACTCATGGCCTCAAGATACTATCTCGTGGCCTCAAGATAGAGATACTATCTTGAGGCCATGAGATACTATCTTGAGGCCATGAGTTACTTATCTTGAGGCCACGAGTTAACTATCTTCAGGCCACGACTTAACTATCTTGAGGCCACGACTTAACTATCTTGAGGCCACGAGTTACTTATCTTGAGGCCACGAGATACTATCTTCAGGCCACGAGTTAACTATCTTGAGGCCACGACTTAACTATCTTGAGGCCACGACTTAACTATCTTGAGGCCACGAGTTAACTATCTTGAGGCCACGAGATACTATCTTGAGGCCACGAGTTAACTATCTTGAGGCCACGAGTTAACTATCTTGAGGCCACGAGATACTATCTTGAGGCCACGAGTTAACTATCTTGAGGCCACGAGTTAACTATCTTGAGGCCACGAGTTAACTATCTTGAGGCCACGAGTTAACTATCTTGAGGCCACGAGTTAACTATCTTGAGGCCACGACTTAACTATCTTGAGGCCACGAGTTAACTATCTTGAGGCCACGAGTTAACTATCTTGAGGCCACGAGTTACTTATCTTGAGGCCACGAGATACTATCTTCAGGCCACGAGTTAACTATCTTGAGGCCACGACTTAACTATCTTGAGGCCACGACTTAACTATCTTGAGGCCACGAGTTAACTATCTTGAGGCCACGAGATACTATCTTGAGGCCACGAGTTAACTATCTTGAGGCCACGAGTTAACTATCTTGAGGCCACGAGATACTATCTTGAGGCCACGAGTTACTATCTTGAGGCCACGAGTTACTATCTTGAGGCCACGAGTTAACTATCTTGAGGCCACGAGTTAACTATCTTGAGGCCACGAGTTAACTATCTTGAGGCCACGAGTTAACTATCTTGAGGCCACGAGTTAACTATCTTGAGGCCACGAGTTAACTATCTTGAGGACACGAGTTACTATCTTGAGGACACGAGTTAACTATCTTGAGGACACGAGTTACTATCTTGAGGCCACGAGTTACTATCTTGAGGCCACGAGATACTATCTTGAGGCCACGAGTTAACTATCTTGAGGCCACGAGTTAACTATCTTGAGGCCACGAGTTACTATCTTGAGGCCACGAGTTACTATCTTGAGGCCACGAGTTAACTATCTTGAGGCCACGAGTTAACTATCTTGAGGCCACAAAATACTATCTTGAGGCCACGAGTTACTTTCTTGAGGCCACGAGTTACTATCTTGAGGCCACGAGTTACTATCTTGAGGCCACGAGTTAACTATCTTGAGGCCACGAGTTAACTATCTTGAGGCCACGAGTTAACTATCTTGAGGCCACGAGTTACTATCTTGAGGCCACGAGTTACTATCTTGAGGCCACGAGTTACTATCTTGAGGCCACGAGATAGTTAGAATTATTATTTTTTTGACAAAGTGGGACCAGAGGGGCTCCGTAATAAATATATCAATTCCTGGTAAGACTTTACTATAAGGTTCATTTAGTTAACATTAGTTGATGTATTAACTATGAGTAATACATTTGTTAATGTATTTGTTCATCTTTGTTAATGTTAGTTATAAAAATCCAGCTGTTAATTGTTTGTTCATGTTAGTTGTTAACAAAATATTTAGTTTTTTAGTTGTTAAAAAAATTAATAAATGCTGTAAAAGTGCAGTTCATTATTAGTTCATGTTAACTAATGCAGTTAACTAATGTTAACTAATGAACCTTATTGTAAAGTGATACCAAATAATTTTGGGGTTGAGTATCCCTTCATGTTCTCCTTTGGGGTACAAAATTTAAAGTCACCATGAAATCAAGATTTGTCATTTTCTTATGGAAAATTGCAGTTTATTATTATTAATCAGTGTACATCATTATTGTTTTAAAATTCATGTTCCTGGTAATCTTGAATCAGAATAAGTTCCTCTTGCAGCACATCTTCTCTTCTGTGATGATAAGGGTGGGGCTATAACCTGTCACTCACATGAGATCAGCCAATAGCAAACCACAACCATCCAATCAGTTCCCCACGGACAAAATCAAGCCCCGCCCACATTTGTTCTTATATCAGAAGCTTGATGGCGACTTAAGTTTAAGTTCTACACTCTTAAAACTAGATTTCCGTTGCATTTGAACATGTATTTTAAGTGTTCTTTGTGAGAAAGTTTGTAAAAGGCCAGTGAAATCGCCAATATCGCTAGTTTAATGTCGCTAATCCAAAAATAAGAAGCTGTTCGGAAGCAGGATATGTAACTTGGAGGAAAATCAAAGTGTATGACGCAAGCGAACAATAATCCTGGAATATAACATACCGCCCTTCCCTGGAGACACGTTTGCAGTTCACAATCACCCCTCTGAGAGATAGTTCAGATGAGTTATAAAACTGCTCTTAACTTGGCCGAGAGTCAGCGTCTGCAAATAACCGTCTACGTGCCGTAAAAGTCTGCAGCATAAAGTAAACCAGGTCATAAGTTCAGTGCGTGTGTTTGGGTTATAGAGGCTCATTCGCTCATATGGTTTGCGTTATTCGTGAGGGGGGTGATCGGCTAAACCCGACAGGCCTCCTGAAGACATCTCAATTCAGTGATGCCGAGGAGAGCGTTAATAATCAAACATATGTCTTTACATAAGAGTTTATTTACAAACCGAAACTATGCAGAGAATGTTTTTCTTGCTAATTGCGTAGGCTTGCAAAACGCCAGATGTTTAGCAGTGATTGCAAATGTTTATTGTTGCATGATGTCAAATGACCCAGCTAACAGAAATATGTTATGAAAACATTAATTCTGAATGTTCTCTGTCTCTTGGTTATTTGAACTTTAAGGTAACATTCGATTTAATACCTCAAACATTTCATTTTATTCCTCAAACATTATTGGAACGTTACTTTCAAATCTTCTCTGAACATTCTAAAACAAACAGTAACATTTAAAAAAAAATAAAAAGGGAGGGAGGGGGGGGGTTGGGGTTGTGCTAACGTTTTAAGAATATTATTAAACACCAGATAACTTTGAACGAAAGTTCTGTTAACGTTACCGAAAGAACATTTGTCAGAACGTTAGCTAAAGTTCTGAGAACGTTATTTTGCTGGGAATCAACGATGTGTCATTACTTAAAACACTGATTGTTCCATAGATGAATAATAATAGATAGAGATTGCACCGTAACACATGTTGATTTCTCAATGTTGATGGATGCATTTAGCATGCTACTCTAATTCCATGGCTCATTGGAAACAGACGTTGTGTCCTCTGAAGGTCCAGCAAAACTTATCAGCTCTGGCTATTTAAATCCTGAGGTGGCTTTTAGCTTCACCCCTCAGAAGTATCTGATCTAGCACTAATACTTTGCAGAAGAACAGACCCTTTGAAGACAAGTACCAGAGTAAAAAAGTTGTAGAAGGAGTAGACTTGAAAGATCTATTTAAAAGCTTTTTTCCGCCACAGAATAAAACATAAAAAAGGTAATTGCGACTTTTTATATCACAAGTCTGACTTTTTTCCTCACAATTGCGAGTTTACATCTCACAATTCTGACGTTTTATCTCAGAATTGCGTGATATGAACTCGCTATTGCGAGAAATAAACTTGCAATTAGGACTTTTTCTCCTCAGAATTGCGTGTTTATATCTCGCAATTATGACTTTATAACACGCAATTGGGAGATAAAGTCAGAATTGTGATAGCCTATAAACTTAAACTAAATTTTCCTCAGAATTTGACTTTATATCTCACAATTATGTAAAAATTAGTCCGCCATGAGTTTATATCTCACAATTCTGATAAATAAAATCAGATTTGCGAGATGGTGAGAAAAAAAAAAGTTACAATATCTTCCATAAATATTTTGCTAAGCACATGGTGAGATTTTGGCTAGGTTTTTTTAGACACAATTTTTAAGGTTTATTTGTTGACTAGTTAGTGCTTGGCTTGCGTGTGTTTTCTCGTTAATGCTTAGGCTATAAAGATATTTCCTGATCTGTTTGTCTCAATCACATGAAAACTTCAGTCATTAGTCACTTTATCAGGTGCTTTAAAAAGCGCTTCCAACGTAGTGCATTATTAAAACATAAAGATGCAAAAGCATTTTCCTACAATCAATATCCATTCGTGAAAAATTAAAGTAGCCTCCAAAAAACAAACAAACAGACGATTTTGAGGCCATTAATTCATCCAAACATGTTTTCGATCAATCTAAATTGTGTTGGCTATCGGCTACATGAGCCATTTCCATATAAGAACAAAAACATGTTGCGGAAATGAGCTTCCATATCATATAGGAGAGTTTCTGGTATTGATTTTAGTTGTAGAAGTTGCTGGCGGAGGTCCAAATACTCTTTCAGGATGATCTGGCTCTTCCGGGAATAGTGGCGCTAAAGCGCGAGGAAGGAGGAACAGGATGATGTGCATGTTTCATCATCATCATCCTCACAGTCGTGCGTGTATTTGAGCCGAAGAGCGGAGGAGTGTGTGTGTGTTATCAGGATGGAGGTGATGGAGGCAGAGCTCGAGGATCTCTGGAGACTGAAGGAATTCGCGCCAGACTTTCGCGGGTGCTCAGGTAAACGTCACGTTTTGAATTCATTAAGTGTCTCGCTGTCGACTTTAACGGACGAGTTGAACGGCGCGCGAAGGAGTTATGTGTTTATTTGGATGTTTTACTCGGCGTGGATGTACTTCTGTTGAAAAGAATCTAGGCTACTTTTGTAAACTTGTCAACCACAACAACGTGAATGCCAAAATTGAATCGCATGTAAGTGGTACAAAGTTTAACAATTAGTCGGCACTCGGCAGGTGCAAAACTTAACCCTTACGAAAATGAACCATGATTTAGTAAAAGTGTAACCACGTTTTGGGCAGATTGATTGCCATTTGTACAACCACCGTTAACTTCCATGGTTAAACTATGGTTAGTGTAGCAAAACCAAATATGTTTAAATACAATTACCATAATTTTTCTGTTTGTTTTATTTGTAGTAAAACCGTGGTTAGTTTTCGTAAGGGAACTAAAAGTTACATTATAATGTGAATTCCTTTTTATCTCTATTTATATCTATGTCATGTTATAAATGGGTCATATTAGTGGAAGATTTCGTATCTGTAAAAAAAAAAAAAAAAATTCAATCTTGAGTTTGAACTAGGCTACTATTGTGCCTGGGTGAGAAAATGAACACAAAAAAACCTGTTACAAAACTCAACTGGCAAAAATCCTTTTTTTTTCTTTTACATTTATTGATTTATTTTTAAATCTGTTATCTTACATTTGATTCATTTCATAATATTCGGTTTCTAGTAGTTCCTTGTCTAGTTCTTCAGAAAACTACCTGGTGCGTTACAGACCCCAGAAACCATATCACTTATTTAAAGAAACTTTCCAAAGAATCATGTACATTTTAAAGTCCCCCTGTAGTCAATAACCATCAAAACTCATCTTTGATCACCAAAATTACACATTTAAATCTATTTTCCTTGAAAAAAATTCTTCATGCCTTAAAATAGCTTGAATGTAACTCCACACCCTTGTCTCATTTAGTATATGGTTAACTGAATATGCAAATGAGCCCCGCCTCCACTCACTCCCTCAGCTCAGAGATCCACTGGTTGACGATCACCCGTTGATCTGATTGGTTACAAGGTAGTTTTTGAGTCAGAAACACCAGCAATTTCAAACCGTGTTTTTGAGACTGTCTTTGGTTCACTGCAGTTTTAAGGAGAAAATACTCAGCAATGCTGTCGACTTATGAACTTACACATGGTTTACACATTATAAACACCACATAGACTTATAAACAACATTAATAGCTTGATTTTCACCACAGGGGGACTTTAAAAGTAGTTATTACAAGTGTTGTTGCAAGAACCTTTAATCTCTAGAGTGTAGCCTATATGATAATGAATCATATAATGGTGTGATTATACAACACAACAACATATGTACCTTGAAATGCAATGTAAGTCGCTTTGAATAAAAGCATCTGCCAAATGCATTAAAAGATATATCATATTTGATATATAAAAAATAAATATAAAATATATATCATATTTGATAAATAATGTCACATCTCTCTTTTGCTGATGTTTCACCCATTTCACTAAAATCCTTATGTGAATGCATACGCATGGAAACGAATCCTGGATTTCCCAGCCCACTCTCTGGCGCTGACATTCGCTAAGCTTATTTCTGGGCCTCATTTTATCAAATTCGATTACAAGCGCACCGTGCAAAGGTCTCTGTTTGGCTAATGGAGTTTGTTTTGGAATTATGCTGCTAAGAGAGACACATAAACACCATCACCAGCCTCAGGTTTCTGTCTACTCTATCCTCATTAGCAGCGATTACAGGAACCCACGAGTGGAGACGGCATCCTCAGTGCCCGAATGTATACCCATGTTTAGCCTTTTGCCTGATAATAAATAATGGCCGAGGTAACGGCACTTACGGTATCGATCTGAAGGGTTTTGTGGATGAAGCCACTCATGTTTAATTGCCAAAGTGGAGAGGAGCTACTTCACATTCCTTAGGGAAACACCGGAGACAGATTTATGTGTCGTTAAATAAGGGTGTGGCTCATAGACATTCATGAGATCCTGGTGTTTTTATGTAGATCTACCTTAGGCCTTAGGGCTGAATACAATTTCTATTCTTCATTATTGAGAGGGTTTGTTTTTAGCATGAATTAACATTACCATTAAAGTGAGTTCAAATGGTTAAGGGATATTATTGTAAAAAAAAAAAAAAAAAAAAAAAAAAAATTCATCTTAATCATGTTAAAATCACTGTAACTCGTGGCCTCAGTTGATAATCATACTCACTTAATAATGTTGTGTTAAAAATAACCCAGCGAGTAACCCAGCTATGGGGTATAGCACCTTCCCAACTGTGGGTTATTTAAACCCAATGCATTGGATTAAAAGCCAGTTGGGTTAAAAGTAACCCAACAGTTGAGTTACATTGTATTACATTTATTATATAGAATGTTTTTGTAATAATAATTAGATGGGAAAGTTTGTGAACCAAAGCTAGCATGAATTAGCATGTTGCTAGCATGGTTTAAGTAGTTTCTAGCATTTTGCTAATATGATTTTACATTTTGCTAGCATGGTTTGGCATGTTGTTAACATGTTGCTAGCATGATATAACACATTGTTAACATAAGCATGTTGCTACTATGATTTAACATGTTGCTTACATGTTTTAACAGGTTACTTACTAGTAGGGTTGCCAACTTTCGAAAAGAAAAGTTTGTTGTTCTCGCAGGCAAGGTTTCTCGCTCTCTCCCTCTCTCTCCGCGCTACACGGTTTATCGCTGACGCACATACAGTAGGCTATGTTCTGTCTCGCATGCGCAGCTCTAGATTCTAGGAGATTTGAACTAATTTACGTGTTGTGTTGCTGTTGTATCAGTCAGATCAGCGCAGCACTCAATAATCGGGACAAGAGAGGTCCCGATCGGGACAAAAAAATTAGGCCCAAAAATCGGGACGTCCCGGGCTAATTCAGTTGGCAACCCTACTTACTAGCATGATTTAACACGTTGTTAGCATGATTACAATGTTGCTAGCATGAAGCAAATCATGTTGCTAGCATTATTTTAACACATTGTTAGCATTTTTAACGTTGTTAACATGATAAGTATGTTGCTAGTATGATTTTACATGTTAACATGTTTGAACAGGTTGCTAGCATGATTTACCACATTAGCTTGTTTTAGGTTAATTATAGTACTTCATGGACTAATTGTTTATTGTGATTAATATTATTGATAATAAATTTAAAAAATAATTTAAAAACTTCTCCTTTACTTCAGCAAATGTTATGTTTGGGTTTGTTTATTGTTATCATCTTACATATTTGAAAGGAACCGTCACAATAACATACATTTATTTGTAGATTGGACTCGTCAGATATTTGACGTTTCTTGTTGACGTTCATTTCGTCCATCATAGTCCATGTTTTAGTCTCTGTGTGCGGTTGAACGTCTGCTTGGAATCAACTGTCCTGCACTATTGCTCAAGACATTGGGAAAACAACACGCAGAGATGTGACTAGTTTTTCCCGTTTGCTAGCAAAACAATGTTCCAACACGTCATGTGGCCTACTTTAGTACACAATCCTGGCAAATACAGTGCCTAGCAATGTTTACTAAAGGGTTAGTTCAACAAAAAAGAAAGTTCTGTCATCGTTTACTCGTCCCCATGTTGTTCCAAACCCATAAGACTTTCATTCATCTTTGGAACTCAAATGAAGAAAAGAGATTTCTGTCCCTCCACAAGTCTGTTCACCCAAAACTTGCATAAAGAGATCGTAAACGAACAGATTTAATTCAAGGCTAATTTTGGTTTAGGTTAATTTAGTTAGTTTAGGTTAAAGTCCCTGTAAAGGCAATTCTAAAAAAAAATTCTAAACACATTATAAATGTTTGAATTGTATTGCTAAAACATATTACAAAGTTTGTGAACTGTGAAGTTCTAATTGTGGAGTTAGACAGTTAAACAGTTTTTCACCATTGCTGTGTTATGGATTTTTTGGGCGGGGCTAAAACGGGGGCTCAATGACGCACTGGAGCCCCTAAGCTCCTGGACACGCCCCTACTTGATGACGCACTGGAGCCCCTGAGCTCCTGGACACGCCCCTACTTGATGACTCACTGGAGCCCCTGAGCTCCGGACACGCCCCTACTTGATGACGCACTGGAGCCCCTGAGCTCCTGGACACGCCCCTACTTGATGACTCACTGGAGCCCCTGAGCTCCGGACACGCCCCTACTTGATGACGCACTGGAGCCCCTGAGCTCCTGGACACGCCCCTACTTGATGACTCACTGGAGCCCCTGAGCTCCTGGACACACCTCTACTTGATGACACACTGGAGCCCCTGAGCTCCTGGACACGCCCCTACTTGATGATGCACTGGAGCCCCTGGACACGCCCCTACTTGATGACGCACTGGAGCCCCTGAGCTCCTGGACATGCCCCTACTTGATGATGCACTGGAGCCCCTGGACACGCCCCTACTTGATGACACACAGGAGCCCCTGAGCTCCTGGACACACCCCTACAGGAGCCCCTGAGCTTCTGGACACGCCCCTACTTGATGACGCACTGGAGCCCCTGAGCTCCTGGACATGCCCCTACTTGATGACACACAGGAGCCCCTGAGCTCCTGGACACGCCCCTACTTGATGACGCACTGGAGCCCCTGAGCTCCTGGACACGCCCCTACTTGATGACGCACTGGAGCCCCTGGACACGCCCCTACTTGATGACGCACTGGAGCCCCTGAGCTCCTGGACATGCCCCTACTTGATGACACACAGGAGCCCCTGAGCTCGTGGACACGCCCCTACAGGAGCCCCTGAGGTTCTGGACACGCCCCTACTTGATGACGCACAGGAGCCCCTGAGCTCCTGGACACGCCCCTACTTGATGACGCACAGGAGCCCCTGAGCTCCTGGACACGCCCCTACTTGATGACGCACAGGAGCCCCTGAGCTCATGGACACGCCCCTACTTGATGACGCACAGGAGCCCCTGAGCTCATGGACACGCCCCTACTTGATGACGCACTGGAGCCCCTGAACTCCTGGACACGCCCCTACTTGATGACGCACTGGAGCCCCTGGACACGCCCCTACTTGATGACGCACAGGAGCCCCTGAGCTCATGGACACGCCCCTACTTGATGACGCACACTGGAGCCCCTAAGCTCCTGGACACGCCCCTACTTGATGACGCACAGGAGCCCCTGAGCTCCTGGACACGCCCCTACTTGATGACGCACTGGAGCCCCTGGACACGCCCCTACTTGATGACGTACTGGAGCCCCTGAGCTCCTGGACACGCCCCTACTTGATGACGCACTGGAGCCCCTGAGCTCCTGGACATGCCCCTACTTGATGACACACTGGAGCCCCTGAGGCTGGCCCCTCCCCTAACAATATAAATAGAGCACATTTGCATCAGTTCGCCTCTCAATCGCGAGTTACTGTCAGTACTATTAGTTACTACTATTAGTTGCAGCTCATACAGAACGCTGCTGCCAGGCTTCTGAGCAGAACCAGAAAATATGAACACATCACACCAGTCCTCAAGTCTTTACACTGGCTCCCAGTTACATTTAGGATTGACTTTAAAGTATTATTACTGGTATATAAATCTTTTAATGGGCTAGGACCTCAATATATTGTAGATATGCTCACTGAATATAAACCTAACAGATCACTCAGATCATTAGGATCACATCAGCTAGAAATACCAAGGGTTCACTCTAAGCAAGGAGAGTCTGCTTTTAGCTATTATGCCAGCCGCAGCTGGAACCAGCTTCCAGAGGAGATCAGATGTGCTCCTACAGTAGTCACATTCAAATCCAGACTCAAAACACATCTGTTTAGCTATGCATTTACTGAATGAGCACTGTGCCACTGTTCGTCCGACTGTTTTTACTGTACTTTACTTTATTTTTTATTCTAAACTGTTTTTACTGTACTGGTTTTGTCTTTGTTTGTTTTCTAATTTCTAATTTATTTATTTTTATAATCTCTGGAAGAGATTTTGAAGGAGAGCGGGAGAGTCTTCACTCCGATGAGGCGAGTGAAGGAGTAAGTTATACTGCTGTATAAGAAGTCGCTGAGAGCGTCGTTAAGGGTAACGGCAGCAGACAGCGCACACGAAGCGTGTTCTGTGGGGGCCCCGCTGGGCATTACTGGTGTAGCACCACCCCAGCAGAGTACGTCCCTGGGCTAGAGGCCCAGTGGCACCGTAAACCGGCTCAATCTCTTCCATCTCAGATGGGGGTGGACCAGTACTACTTTATTTGATATTTTATTCTAAACTGTTTTAATTATTCTTATTTGTTTTGATTACTTTAATTTCTTCTATGTAAAGCACTTTGAATTGCCATTGTGTATGAAATGTGCTATATAAATAAACTTGCCTTGCCTTGCCTTGCCTACTACAGCCTACAGTTTGCTAGCTAGCTATGCCTTCGTCACATAAATGCGTACTACCTGGATGCGATCACGTACAAAACAGATCGGTGTCCTTATTTAAATTTCCGAAAAACTTAATTATGTGTAGAGATTAATTTTGTGAAGAGCCACCTTGATGGAGAGCTGAGGATCACCGCCAAAACCCGCCTCTGTAGTAATCATTTTACACAGGATAATTTTATAAACTTTCGTCGGACACAACTGGGATTCACTTATAATCCGCTGTTACTGATGAATGGGGCCGAACCGACTATCTCCAGCCTCGGCCTTCATCCTCCGAAAGCAGTATCACCTAATATCACCGTCGGTAGCTGTCCCGTGAGTGGGCGTGGTTTCAGCGCAGCCAGCGGACACGCCCCCACAGCAGACACGCCCCCAGCGTTTGAGAGCAGAGAATACTGCTCATTTTTTCAAGATTTTGATAGCTTATTTTATGTACTTATGTGCTTTTTTTAACATTCAAATTTGGCTGGGTGGCTAATAACACATTTTTCTGTGGTGTGACAAACTCAGAACACATACTTCATTTTGACTGTACAGGGACTTTAATTTAAGTTATTCACAAATAAACATGAATAATGAACATACATAGAGCTCTTAAATTTGGTAATGGAAGCCCAACGCGTAAGAAGCAATGAGTTTTAAATAAAATTTGGACATACTACATCCGCTGTTGTCACTGTTATGTGACCTTCGGTAAGCCCCGCCCCCTTTACTGTTGCGAACTCGGACAAACATGGAGTTGCTAACTGTCGTTCAATGTAAAAAAAGATGTTTTTGATAAATTTTGGACACAGAAGGACCACCTCTTGTTGAGAAGCATTCAAGTTGGACTTGCATATGCCATGGAGGGATATATAAAAGATTTAAAAATAAATATGGTGGGTAACAAGATTCATTTGGAAGCTCAGGTTTAAAGATGTTTTTAATTTGCGCGAGTGACGTGAAAAACAAGAAACATCCCGCGAGAAATGCGATGCGAATATTTGCTTTGGTTTTGGTGTGCACACACCATTATGGGTTTGGTCCGACATGAGGGTGAGTAATTCATGACAGAATTTTTGGATGAACTAACCCTTTAAGCTTTGTCTTTGTGTCCACAGGATGAAATAAACCCCCTGGAGAAGAGAACTCATCAGCCGCCACCATGGTTTCATCGTTGCTCTCCGTCGACGAAACGGTCGCACAAAGCAACGCAACTCCGCTTTGCTTCTCCATTAACAACTTTACTTTCAAAGCCAACCACACCATCGCCTCTGCGTACTTCTCGGCAGTCTTCAGCGGACTCGGATTGAGCTCCAACCTCTTCGCCCTGGTGGTCCTGGCCAAGACTTTCCAGCACACCAAGAGCCGCTCGCGTTCCTCATTCCTGATCTTCCTCGGTGGTCTGGTGTTCACCGACTTCATGGGACTGTTGGTCACGGGGTCCATAGTGGTGTCCTTCCACATCACGCACTTTAACTGGCGCCAACTGGACCCTCACTGCCACTTTTGCAACTTCATGGGCATGTCAATGGTCTTCTACGGGCTTTGCCCGCTTCTTCTCGGCGCCGCTATGGCTATGGAGCGTTACATAGGCATCAACCGACCCTTCGCACGTTCAACTGCCATGACCAACTCAAGAGCGTGCTCAACGGTGGCCATTGTGTGGGTCACAGCCGGTTGCATTAGCTTGTTGCCATTAGCGGGGTTGGGAAACTACCACCTCCAGATACCCGGATCCTGGTGCTTCCTCAACATCAGCTCCAAACCTCTGGACATGACCTTCAGCTTGATCTTCTCGCTCGTCGGCCTGCTCTCACTGGCCGTGTCGTTCCTGCTCAACACGGTGAGCGTGATCACTCTCCTGAGGGTGTGTTGCGGACAGGACAGCGGGCAACGGAGACGAGACTATGAAGTGGAGATGATGGTGCAGCTCATCTTGATCATGGCCATCGCCTCCATCTGCTGGTGCCCTTTACTGGTGAGTTCCTCTGTACTAAGACCGAATTGACCAGCTCTTCCCGAAATCTACTCTTAAAGATGGGTTCCAAAAGTTGTTTTTTTTCACAGCGATGCCACTTTTGGTTCCCCAAGGTTCTCAAAAGAACCATTTTTTTCTTAGTGTGAAGAACATTTATAAAATCTAAAGAACCTTTTTTCCCTCACTCTTAAAAATAAATGTCCTTTATTGGCATCTGTGGTTCCATTAAGAACATTTAAGTTCAATCATGGAATCTTTCCATTGCACTTTAGTGGGAAAATGTTCATGATAATGCCTTAGAAGAACCATTTTTGGTTCCCCAAAAAACCTTTCAGTAACTAAAGAAACTTTTTAAACATTTTGTGCAATGAAAATGTTCCAACGTTCTTTGTGAAACCATCAATGCCAATTAAGAACCTATTAAGTAAGATAGCTAGGTTAGTAAGTGAACAAGAAGGAATCTCGCAGAGGAATATTATGGCTTCAGTACAAGTACAAGTTAAAGCATTTGATAATTTGACATAATGTTGATAACCTAATGAACTTCCACTTTCCCTCCCCCGGAAGTGAATGGGGCCAATACTCACTGTTTCAATAGTATAGTTACAAGATATAAACATGCCAACATGATTTTAGCGTGTAAAAAAATCCAGTCTTGTCCAATTTTACAACTTTGTTGCAATGACAATGCAATGCCATAAACTCTAAAATGACTTTAAAAATAAGGATTTAAGCAGCTTTACAGCTCACATAAATAGAAGAAATTGAACAGAAGAAATACAGTTATGAACATCAATTTCTGCTTTCTAAATCCTCTTAAAATTGGCATTATTGGTAATCAATATGCCACAAATACTGTTAATTGAGCTCAACTTGTTCTGCAACTTCTTCCGTTCTGCTCAATTGATCCCAGTAGTTTGACATTGGTGCATCTCTCTAGAATGCATAAAAATTTGAATAATTTCCAATTCCAAAAATATGGAATTGGAAGTATTTACCATTGATAGCTTTAAACGACTCGTCCACCATCTTGAATGTGTTTTTCATTTAGCTCAGCGCAATGCATTCTGGGATTAGTGTGTCCTTCACCGTAAAGGACACATTTGCTTCTGCATTACAGTTTGGCCCAAGAAAAGTATCTTAGGAACATAATTATGCTGCCTATCTTTAACAAAAGTCTTTTTAATAACACTCCCATAGGCAGTTTACTCTGTTTGGAACGGCCTCAACTTGCTAAAAAAGGCAAAAAGTTGCTTTGAACGTCGATCTGATTTCAACTGCACAGACTTTAGTTCCATGCCGTTCTTATCTGACTTCAAACGATCTGTTTACTTGACATGCTGTTCTGTAAATCCAGCCCGTTTTAGATCCAGATGTCGGTGGCATCTGGTACCTACTTGCTCTGTGATATTATGAGAACTGCTTCTCGTAACCATCCGAATCCATTTCAATCGTCTGTGACGCTGCTTGTTTTAAGTCCTGCTTATTGTTAAGTATTTGTTTGTTTATCTAAATGTTGAGCAGAAATACTGCTGTGCATTACTGAGGCCGTAAAGTCAGATGCTTTACTTGTCAAATAACGCATTCAGAGCTTCTTCGAAACTCTTCCATGTTTTGCGAGTTGAGGAACATTTAGGAGTTGTGTGAGAACAGCTGATAAGACTAATGGGGGGGAAAGCCATTTCCTGTTGAGGAGAAGAACAGGAAGTCCTCACCAACAAACACACACTCAGATTATTTTGAACAAAACAAGTTCACCGTAAGCCAATGACATGCACTTGCTATTTTACTTTATAAAGTTGCAATATGAAGTGATAGCAGATATATAAGGAGTAGTTCACTTCAGATTTAAAATTTCCTGATAATTTACTCTCCCCCACGTCACCCATGATATTCATGTCTTTCTTTCTTCAGTCAAAAAAAGAAATGAAGGTTTTTGAGGAAAATATTCAATGGGGTCCAACGGGTCGAAGGTCCAAATGTGAGTTTCAGTGCAGCTTCAAAGTCTCGACACGATCCCAGCCGAGGAATAAGAGTCTTATCAAGACAAACCAGTGGCCATTTTATAAAAAACAAACATTTATATACTTTTTAACCACAAATGCTCGTCTTGCACGTCCTTGACTTCACACATTACGTAATCATGTACGGTAGGGCGAAAAATATAGTAAAAATTGACATTTAGTTAGTTGCATAGAATGTCTAAAGTGGACTATCGAAATAAAGTGTTATCCTATAACGTCTAGAAACCCACAGACGTGGCTTATAGTTGAAGCATGTTTCCCCTCCAACACATGACAGGTGCATACAGGACATTTTCTACTGTATTAGGCTTAAAAAGTTTAGATGCTCACTCTCTGGTTCACTTAAATCCTTCATATACGGGATTACTGTCACTGAAAACCAAAGAAAAGGTTTGGAGTAAGAAGTGGCCTATACTTAAATAAACGCGGCTCGTCTGTGATGATCTGAAATGGAACTTTGGGAATAAACACTCTGGAATTCCTGTGTTCTAGTGTGATGTTGTCATGATGATGTCACGATGATGTCATGATGATGTGAGATTAGTGCGATGATGTCATGATGATCTCACGATGATGTGAGATGAACGGAACACGGTCTCTGGGAAATGACCTGTGACGCCTCTAACCTTGTTTCTCCCCGGACAGATATACATTTTGAAGACCGTCGTCGTGTCGTCCGTAGCCGCCGACCCCTATAGCGTTCTGTTCTACCTCCGCTTGGCCACCTGCAATCAGATTTGTGACCCCTGGATTTACATCCTGTGTCAGGAGTCTAGACTGAGGCGAGTAAAGCGGCCCGTGCGGTCACTGGGTAATTCAGATCGTGATCCGGATTCACACTCGCTCCTCACGCATCAGATTGCTTTGAAGTGTTTGTGGCGCTGTGCTGTTCATCTGGGAATCACCGCTGGTTCACTAAACACCATCACCCACGCTAATCAGAGTTTCTGCCCAAATAGCATAGTTATGAGTGTAACTTCATACTTTATGCATACAAAGGTATACACTCACCTAAAGGATTATTAGGAACACCATACTAATACTGTGTTTGACCCCCTTTCGCCTTCAGAACTGCCTTAATTCTACGTGGCATTGATTCAACAAGGTGCTGAAAGCATTCTTTAGAAATGTTGGCCCATATTGATAGGATAGCATCTTGCAGCTGATGGAGATTTGTGGGATGCATATCCAGGGCACGAAGCTCCCGTTCCACCACATCCCAAAGATGCTCTATTGGGTTGAGATCTGGTGACTGTGGGGGCCATTTTAGTACAGTGAACTCATTGTCATGTTTAAGAAACTAATTTGAAATGATTCGAGCTTTGTGACATGGTGCATTATACTGCTGGAAGTAGCCATCAGAGGATGGGTACATGGTGGCCATAAAGGGATGGACATGGTCAGAAACAATGCTCAGGTAGGCCGTGGCATTTAAACGATGCCCAATTGGCACTAAGGGGCCTAAAGTGTGCCAGGAAAACATCCCCCACACCATTACACCACCACCACCAGCCTGCACAGTGGTAACAAGGCATGATGGATCCATGTTCTCATTCTGTTTACGCCAAATTCTGACTCTACCATCTGAATGTCTCAACAGAAATCGAGACTCATCAGACCAGGCAACATTTTTCCAGTCTTCAACTGTCCAATTTTGGTGAGCTCTTGCAAATTGTAGCCTCTTTTTCCTATTTGTAGTGGAGATGAGTGGTACCCGGTGGGGTCTTCTGCTGTTGTAGTCCATCCGCCTCAAGGTTGTGCGTGTTGTGGCTTCACAAATGCTTTGCTGCATACCTCGGTTGTAACGAGTGGTTATTTCAGTCAAAGTTGCTCTTCTATCAGCTTGAATCTTCTAATACCTCGAAGTGATAAAATAAAATTCTGTATCAAATTTATAGGCAAGACAAGTAGTTTGTTTAGGCATGGTTTGTTGGGAAATTACAAACCTGCGCACACATATTCAAACGAATTTAACTATAGAATCATTATTTAATGCGCATGTGAACGCCATCCGGTCACAGGTTCGCGTTTAAAGTCTGTTTAGAGAGAACGCCATCGTCTTAGTGGCCCCTAATGTAATAAAAAATTATAATTTTGCTGGAAGTGAATCAATCAAAACCAACTTTAGCTGGAAATAACATTATTCAAAAATCGCTATAAAGCCAAAACAATCTCTGTTACCGTAAATTGTATGTTTATCTCTGTAAAGCTGCTTTGAAACAATCTCCATTGTTAAAAGCGCTTTATAAATGAAGATGACTTGACTTGACTTGAATCAGTCGGCCCATTCTCCTCTGACCTCTAGCATCAACAAGGCATTTTCGCCCACAGGACTGCCGCATACTGGATGTTTTTCCCTTTTCACACCATTCTTTGTAAACCCTAGAAATGGTTGTGCGTGAAAATCCCAGTAACTGAGCAGATTGTGAAATACTCAGACCGGCCCGTCTGGCACCAACAACCATGCCACGCTCAAAATTGCTTAAATCACCTTTCTTTCCCATTCTGACATTCAGTTTGGAGTTCAGGAGATTGTCTTGACCAGGACCACACCCCTAAATGCATTGAAGCAACTGCCATGTGATTGGTTGATTAGATAATTGCATTAATGAGAAATTGAACAGGTGTTCCTAATAATCCTTTAGGTGAGTGTATATATATTTATAAATGTATATAAATATGTATGTGTGGGTGTGTGTACGTTTTTGTAATGTTTATATTTTATTAAATAAATATATATTAAAAGATATATTAAATATGTATGCCTTGATTTTATTTATATATATATATATATATATATATATAAGCAGTAATTATAGAAGCTATTTGGAAGAAACTGTACTCACCATGGTTAAATGTGTCTTTCTGTCATGTAACATCAAATGCAGTGTGTGTGTGTGTGTGTGTGTGTATCCATGTGTATTTTGTCGAGTGAACACTGCAAAGGTCAGTGATCGAACTGCTAAGCTCACTCCATTGCCGCTGTATTCGCTGCATCATTGCTAAGTGTTCATGTTCACCACAAACACATTTGGTATCTTGCTGGAATTGGAAAAATATCCAAGAAGGTTGTGTGAGAGCAGCTGGCTTTATCCTTAACATCCTTAACAACAGCTTTAGTGTCCACATGATAAACCCCAGCTGGCCTCACACACACTCCTCCAGCCTCTCTGTTTGTTTTGCTTTAGTTTTTCACAACAACATGATTGATCGTAACACTCAAATCAAAGGAAATTGTATTTTATTATTTTTCATGACACTTAAGCAAAATTCCCCACATATTCTACATTTTATGTTTATTTTAACTAAATAAGGGTGAAATGTGTCCTGGATATTTTCCTGACAGATTTTGTGGAGATAAATTAAAAACATGACCGATTATATTTAGCAGTCGGCATGAAGCCAGTATTCATATTCCAGTAAACTGTTTATTCTGGTTATTCTCATTGGTCATTTTCATAAACATTTCGATATGACAAAGCCTGCAGTGTTTGCGTAATAATGACTGTGTTTATTTTATTAAAACCCTCATCCTTCCCTCGCACTTTGTAACGCATCTTTCCCTCGCGGCTCAAAATGCCTCGAAGCCCAAAAATTATACTTTATTTATTTATTTTTGTACAGAAAGCTTATTTTATTTCATTCTGATAATATTTTTTCTATTTTTTTAATGAAATTTGTTGATTTTTTTGTTATTTAAATTTAATTTACCTTTTAATTACTAGATTTAATAAATAAATAGTCATTTAAGCACATTCCTTCAACTTGAATTCAAAATAACTCACAATTTCATGCATAACCCTTTTATTTCAGCTCAAAATATCTTACATTGGGTGTGTTTGCCGACCTTGTGTGGGAAAACAATAATATAACATGATATTTCATATTTATTTGACTCTAGATGGGCGTATAGCTCTATATATAGCAGATGTATAAGATCTGTCCTTAAGTCAGATACACATTATAAAATAATTTTTTTGGTAAAGTTTCCATTTGAATTTTGAGGATTTTTAGGTTTTTCTATGTGTACTGAAGCATTCCTCGCATTTCATTCAGTCCTAAAAGGGGTCAAATTGACCCGTGAAGGAAGGATTTGTTACTTTTTTTAAATTTCAACCACAAAACTCCTCAAATCCAACCAATTTTTTTTATGTGTTCGAGGTTCAAGTGCGTCAAATCTTGGACCCCTCTGATGAACCCCCGATTTCATTCAGAAATGGTTTCCAGCAGGTCGCATTGGCCCGCGAGGAAAGGATGCGTGTGTATGTCCGGACTCGAGTGTGTGTTTGTTTCTCACTGGTGTGTTTTGCTTGGACAGGTGTTTATTGCGCAGACCGTGCTGTCCGGGGGCGAGCTCAAAGTGCGCCAGCTGCTTCTCTGGCTTCGGTTTGCGACGTTGAACCAGATCCTGGACCCCTGGGTCTACATCCTCTTCCGACGGGCCGTTCTGAAGCGGGTCGCGCCCAACATGGACTGGTCCCGCGGGTCGATCGCGAGCATCTCCACGTCCTTGCGCAGACTCACGCGCGCCTCGCTGGGGGGAACAGGGGACCGATCGGAGAACATCCGGACAAATCCTGACAAATCCAGACACCAGGAGACGCCTTTCCCTGTGCAGAACATCCCAGCCTCGTCTTGCTCTGTTTAGCAAACCAGGGGTGTGTTTCCCGAAAGCATCGTTTGCCAACTATGTTCCGTCGTTATCAGCAGTTCAACGAGTGTGTGTTTCCCGAAACCATCGTTCCAACGAACATTCGCCAACAGCATCGCAGAGGTGTGTGTGTGAGCGACAGATCTCCTGTGGTTTAAGCAGTTTCTAGTGTTCATGACATGTGGACTCAATAAATCCTGATCTTGAGCAAAATAAGCAATCTGACATTCAGTGCAACCGGTGTCTTTATGTAGAACACATACAAATGTCATTTACGTCTTTTAGTTTGTCAAGAGATTTAAAGTGTAGTTTTTGAAGAGCGCGCATGTGTGAACGAGCTCTAGTGCACAAGAACGAGCCTATGATTGAATCTGGAAATAAAGCAAAATAACTGAGAAAAATGAGAAATAGTCCTCAGATGCATGTCCGTAATTTATAGCAAAACGTCTAGCGTTAATTTGATCTCAAACAGACTCATTAAAGTAGTTATTACTCCAACACCTGCGTTCATTAACCAACGCGGTTGAACGACCAATTTGCGACCAATCAGGAAACAGTCGAGACTCGCTAGTTGATTTCTTTAGCGATGCATCGTACTACGGTAGTGAACCAGCGAGTTACGGCGCTGTACGGGAAACACACTCCAGGACTTACATCTTCCTCTGCTTCTGTGATGATTAAACGTCTCATGGAAAGATTGACATTGATAATAATCATAAATGTTTCTTGAGCATCAAATCATCATATTAGAGTGATTTCTGAAGGATCATGTGACACTGAAGACTGGAGTAATGATGCTGAAAATCAGCTTTGACCACAGGAATAAATTACACTTTACTATATATATTCTCATAGAAAACAGTTATTTTAAATAATATTTCACAATTTTTTTTTTTTTTTTTTTATCAAATAAATGCTGCCTTGGTGAGCAGAAGATACTTCTTTAAAAAACATAAAAAAATTACCAATCCAAAACTTTTGACTTGTAGTTTAGGGCCTTTTCTCCTTTTGACCCTTTCCTTGATTTGCTGGCCAAGAAACTCTTGTCAGACGTTCAAGGCGTGGTGAACTCGCATGCACTCGTAGAGGAAGACGTACAGTAAAAACTTTGGGAAAACTGCAGTTTTGGCTCGTTTCCTACATATACACTCCCTTTTCCTTGCTGATAAGACGGAGGACCACACACTCGGGTAAAATGTCTCCCGACTTAAACTTTTCTAGTATTGTCTTGGAACAATTTTGTTTTATCTATTTCTAGCACAAAGTCGGTTATTCTTGTGTGAATAAACTCTTTTGTTTGGATTGCTTTGGTCAATTGTTCTCTCAAGTATTTGCATCTTTGGTAGAGATGATTTTTCTTTGGCAAGTAATGTCGCTGAGGCCTAGAGCACACTGAAGCTCATCCGCTAGCTAGAGCCGCACGATTAATCGCTAAAACATCTCGATTCAAACACCTATGTGATCTTATTCCTAAATGACAATGTGTCTATTAAACCTTTGACAAAATCACAGCGAACATTCAGATCTGTTTGATCCGGAGAGAGCAGTTGTCGTATGGGTATGAAACAGCTTCACAAACAGTCTTTTCAACACTTAGTATCATTATTTCTGTCTTACATTAATTCATATTATCACAGAAGTACTGGGAGAAAAGTTTATAGTTCAGATATTAACACTGATGTCTACAGTAGAGCTTAAACTAGAGTAAATCACCTTTTGAAAGTAACTTGATGCTTCAGATAAAGATTGTATCATTACATCATTACACCAGTAGGTGGCGACTGTTACGTTACTGTTAAAATTGTTTATCATTGAATCATTCATTCAAGAGATTCGTTCAAAAATGCTGATTCATCCAGTAATGAAACAAGTGTATTTATGAGTGAGTCATTGAATCAATCAATCAAGAGATTCATTCAAAAAATGCTGATTCATCCAGTAATGAAACAAGTGTATTTATGAGTGAGTCATTGAATCAATCAATCAAGAGATTCATTCAAAAAATGCTGATTCATCCAGTAATGAAACAAGTGTATTTATGAGTGAGTCATTGAATCAATCAATCAAGAGATTCATTCAAAAAATGCTGATTCATCCAGTAATGAAACAAGTGTATTAATGAGTGAGTCATTGAATCAATCAATCAAGAGATTCGTTCTAAAAATGCTGATTCATCCAGTAATGAAACAAGTGTATTTATGAGTGAGTCACTGAATCAATCAATCAAGAGATTCGTTAAAAAAATGCTGATTCATCCAGTAATGAAACAAGTGTATTTATGAGTGAGTCACTGAATCAATCAATCAATCAAGAGATTCGTTCAAAAAATGCTGATTCATCCAGTAAATGAAACAAGTGTATTTATGAGTGAGTCACTGAATCAATCAATCAAGAGATTCGTTAAAAAAATGCTGATTCATCCAGTAATGAAACAAGTGTATTTATGAGTGAGTCACTGAATCAATCAATCAATCAAGAGATTCGTTCTAAAAATGCTGATTCATTCAGCAATGAAACAAGTGTATTTATGAGTCATTGAATAAATCAATCAAGAGATCTGTTAAAAAAAATGCTGATTCATCCAGTAATGAAACAAGTCTATTTATGAGTGAGTCACTGAATCAATCAATCAAGAGATTTGTTCAAAAAATGCTGATTCATCCAGTAATGAAACAAGTGTATTTATGAGCGAGTCATTGAATCAATCAATCAAGAGATTTGTTCAAAAAATGCTGATTCATCCTGTAATGAAACAAGTGTATTTATGAGTGAGTCATTGAATCAATCAATCAATCAAGAGATTTGTTCAAAAAATGCTGATTCGTCCAGTAATGAAACAAGTGTATTTTATGAGCGAGTCATTGAATCAATCAACAACGAGATTTGTTCAAAAATGCTGATTCATCCAGTAATGAAACAAGTGTATTAATGAGTGAGTCATTGAATCAATCAATCAAGAGATTCGTTCAAAAAATGCTGATTCGTCCAGTAATGAAACAAGTGTATTTATGAGCGAGTCATTGAATCAATCAACAACGAGATTTGTTCAAAAATGCTGATTCATCCAGTAATGAAACAAGTGTATTAATGAGTGAGTCATTGAATCAATCAATCAAGAGATTCGTTCAAAAAATGCTGATTCGTCCAGTAATGAAACAAGTGTATTTATGAGCGAGTCATTGAATCAATCAACAACGAGATTTGTTCAAAAATGCTGATTCATCCAGTAATGAAACAAGTGTATTTATGAGTCATTGAATCAATCAATCAAGAGATCCGTTCAAAAAATGCTGATTCATCCAGTAAATGAAACAAGTGTATTTATGAGTGAGTCACTGAATCAATCAATCAAGAGATTCGTTAAAAAAATGCTGATTCATCCAGTAATGAAACAAGTGTATTTATGAGTGAGTCACTGAATCAATCAATCAATCAATCAAGAGATTCATTCTAAAAATGCTGATTCATTCAGCAATGAAACAAGTGTATTTATGAGTCATTGAATAAATCAATTAAGAGATCTGTTAAAAAAAATGCTGATTCATCCAGTAATGAAACAAGTCTATTTATGAGTGAGTCACTGAATCAATCAATCAAGAGATTTGTTCAAAAAATGCTGATTCATCCAGTAATGAAACAAGTGTATTTATGAGCGAGTCATTGAATCAATCAATCAAGAGATTTGTTCAAAAAATGCTGATTCATCCTGTAATGAAACAAGTGTATTTATGACTGAGTCACTGAATCAATCAATCAAGAGATTCGTTCAAAAAATGCTGATTCATCCAGTAATGAAACAAGTGTATTTATGAGTGAGTCACTGAATCAATCAATCAAGAGATTAGTTCAAAAAATGCTGATTCATACAGTAATGAAACAAGTGTATTTATGACTGAGTCACTGAATCAATCAATCAAGAGATTCGTTCAAAAAATGCTGATTCATCCAGTAATGAAACAAGTGTATTTATGAGTGAGTCACTGAATCAATCAATCAAGAGATTAGTTCAAAAAATGCTGATTCATACAGTAATGAAAACAAGTGTATTTATGAGCAAGTCATTGAATCAATCAATCGAAAGATTCGTTCAAAAACTGCTAATTCATCCAGTAATGAAACAAGTGTATTGATGAGTGAGTCATTGAATCATTCATTCAAGAGATTCGTTCAAAAATGCTGATTCTTCCAGTAATGAAACAAGTGTATTTATGACTGAGTCATTGAATCAATCAATCAAGAGATTAGTTCAAAAAATGCTGATTCATCCAGTAATGAAACCAACCAGTTCTGAGGTGAATCTAAACACTAAAAACTTTGATTTGAAGCAAAAACGTATTTGAAAAGCGGACAAAAATACAGGACTGTACTTAACGGCTTCGGTGAGGGAAAGAACTACAATTCCCTGAAGAACTGCGAATGACATCATGAATTAAAACAATTGGAGAAATATAAAAATACAGATTTAAAGATGTTAATTGTGTATATAAAAACAACATATTTTTATGTTGCTTGCATAAAAATTTATATTTAGACAAATATTTAAGTAGTTGATGAGCATAGGGATTCGCAGTGCTTCATGGGAGTGGGCGGAGCTATTTTCTCTAATTGGTGGAATTTCTCAGCAGAATCATGGGTAATGTAGTTGTTCACCAAGAAATCTGCCATTAAACACAATTATTTAAAAAATAAATTTAAATAATGCTGATGGCTATAACAAAAACAGTCCTTCGAGTAACAACCTCACAGTAGGTCCGTCTTTAATCTTTAATTTTATTATATTGTCATTTTCATTAGTTTTTTAATGTTTCAGTTTTTAGTACATCAACTAATTTCATTTGAAATTTTTTTTAAGTTTAATCTTTCAATCTAATATTTATATTCTATTCTATATTTTATTTTGGCTTTATTTCAACATCTTATTTCAAGTTATCGTAAAGTTATTGTTAAAAATCAATGCCCTTATGTAAAAAATTAATGGGATTATTACTTCCGGAACCAGACCGTTGCACTATAAAAGAGGTGGAAAGAGAATTAAGAAAGTCAATTTTGATTTCACGTTTACTGAAGGACTTTTGTCAGCCATTTTGTGAGCGACTCTCTTTGATGTTTATGACTTACGAATGTACAAAAAGTCTCCACATACAAAATTTGTGGTATGCTGGAGTGTTTTTAATCTTCACACATATTCAAATATGTCACATCAGGTCATCCAAAAGGGGTACGGACATTGTAAAACACGATATACAATACACAAACACTTAGCAGATTTTTTAGTTTAATAGCTACACATTAAATGTGAACATATCATTAATTCAACTGTGTCAATAAGTGATGATTCATATATACACAAGCCATCCGTGTCACAAGATCTCATTAATCATGAAAGATCATTCATTTCACCTGTAACACGATGTATAACACAAAAGACAAAAACAAACAAAGGCTAGGCTAAGCTAAGCTAATGTCTGCTATCATATACTTGATTGTAATGCTTTTAAAGTCAAATATATAATGTAAAACTTAAAAGATTGGTTTAATCCCTAGTTAGCTATACAGATCGGTGGGAAATACAGTGTGACCGACTTCGTACTGCTCTACGCACTTGAATGTTTGCGTTAGCTCGTTGTTTAGCCGCTAATACCTTGACGTTCTCCATTCTTCCTCGGGATCAGTGTGGGAATTGGGAGGATTGAGTATATGAAAACAGATGACAGACGTCACAAATCAACCTCTCAGATGTCTTGACTTACTCTAGGGGAAAAACATAGGAGGAAAAGCATGTGCTCGTGTGAGATAGCGTTAGCATGTCTAGCATTTGTCGCTAATTGTTTTCTGTAAGGACTGGATGTAAATAAAGGGTGATAAGATAATCTGGTTCACTTTTCTTCCACAAATGCCAAAAAGTATCTGAAACCATGCAGTTTTCAGGGCCCACCTCTAAATCCGGCCGTTCTTGACGTCTCCCAGAGCGCCCCACACTTCAAACAGAAAGACGTCGGGAAAACCGAAGTCGCCCAGAACGGAGTCGAGCGCCTCTGCGAAATCATCCGGGTTCTGCTTGTTCCTCCCGGCTTCCACTATGGTCGTCGCTGTAGGACACGAGATCAAAAACACATCCTAACAAAGTGATCTGTGATGCGTTTTCCTGTGTTTGTGACTATATATAGAGGGTTTACATCATGTTAAGACTTGCAGGTGAAACACGAAATAATTAGAATATGGTGCAAAAGTTCATTTATTTCACTAATTCAACTTAAAAGGTGAAACTAATATATTATATAGACACATTACATGCATCATCACTCATTAATCATCACAATTATAACAAATAAAGGCTTGAAATATCTCACTTTGCATGTAATGAGTCTATATAATATATTAGTTTCACCTTTTAAGTTGAATTACTCAAATAAATGCACGATATTCTACTTTTTCGAGTTTCACCTGTAACATGTTAGCGCTGCATTCCTGCCTTTCTGAAGACAGACCAAAAATAAACGTTACTCTGTGATCTTAAATTGTTGTTTTGGTTCTCTTTCGTGTTTTAACAGACAAAAACACAAAACTATAACCAAAAATGCTTGTTTTGTTGTGTCACGTGTCTTAAAGTGACAGCAGCCTAATAAACCTGCTGCTGTCTGTCATTAAAGATAACCAAAGAACAAAAGAAAAAGAGAAAAACACTCTTGCTTTCGACTGAATAACTTTTGTAGCTTTAATAAGGACTAATCTATATTTAATTGATCATTTCTGCAGTGAAGACTGTGAAGTGTTTGATAACTGAGTTTGTGTTTGATAACTTTGACAAAAAATGAGTAGCTGTGAATAAAATAAGTTACATTTTTAATTTAAGTTAAGTCTTTTAATATTTAAGTATATTAAGCAAAAAAATTATATTAATTACATTACATACGTTTTTAATGTTTATATATATATATATATATATATATATAACAATTAATATATTAATTTAGATATTTATTAGATATTATATATATATATATATATATATATATATATATTTGTTTTTTAATGGTTTACTTGCCCTGAGATATAAATAAATATAATGAATCAATTAATTTATTATGAATTAAAATACATTTAATAATACATTTATTATAATAAAATAAATATATATATATATATATATATATATGTGTGTGTGTGTGTGTATATATATATATATATATAATACAATGAATTTAAATATCTTCACGTTATCTATATATATATATATATTATTTATATATATTTGTTTTTAATGGTTTACCGGTATTTGCCCTGAGATATAAATAAATATAATAAATAAATTGATTGATGTATTATTTATTATAATCGTTTTTTAAATACATTTATTATAATAAATATTACACACATATACACACACACACATAAATATATATATATATATGTGTGTGTGTTTGTATATATATATATATATATATATATAATACAATAACTGAATTAAAAATCTCGACATGTTATCGCTATTCCTGCCTTGCTGAAGACAGTCCAACAATAAACGTTACTTTGTAATCTTTTTGGGAATTATTCCACCCCGGTTCCCGAGGGCCAAGCAATGTTTTCCCTGATGCTAATGATGCAATGCAGTGAATTCATGGGAACTAAAGGGCCGTTTTCCTCCAGCCTTTTACGGGAACATCCGAAGCTAAAGGCCAGATCTGCTCTCACCGAGTTCGAGGTCGCGGATCCCCATGTAGCTCTCCAGAAGATCGTCCACCTTCCGGATGGCCTTGTCCTCGAACTCGCTGGGCTGGTGGAGGACACATGGATGCAGAGATGAGTGGAAAGAGTTTAGAGAGCAAAAGTTGTCCTGGAGTTTAAACGCTGAACTCACGATCTCCTCGACGGTGGCCGAGCCTTTGGAGCGCATGCGCAGAGTCTCTTTCCCGCTCACCATCTTGCCCTCGCTGGACTTCGGCGCTCGCGTCCTCTGGCCTATCATGTCTGACACACACACACACACACTTCATGTTAAAGGCAACAGGAAAACAGATTGAATCACCAATAGCGATTGATGAAAGCAAATTCCAGGCTTCAGCTTCCTGTTTACTCATATCTGGGCTTCAGTCTCTTTTCTGTAAATCTGTATTTTAACAACATATTTTTTTCTTTGCATTATTAAATCATATTTTATTGTACTATTATTAATGTATTATATTAGCTATGTATATATAAGACTATATCAGACTATTTTATTATATTTTATGTTGTTTTATTATTGTGTGTATGTGTGTATCAAGCTTATTACAAAAAACTAAAACATTTTTGTTCCTTAAAATAAAAAAATATTTAAAAATGTAAAAACTTTTTATATATTTTAAACATTATTTGTTAATATTTAATTATATATTTTGAATATATATGTTATGTAATACATATTTATAATATATATTTATATATAATATGTTAATATTGATATGTTGTAAAACTAGTTTTATACATTTTTGCTGTTACATTAATGTTTATTTATATTTATACAATAATTATCTTGATATGTTATCCAAAAGCATATTTTTTCAATTTCTTTTTTGTTACTTAAAAATAGAATAAATAAAACTCATTTATGTTACTTAAAATAAAAATAAATTAAAAACGTAAACTTTATATAAATATCGTATATATTTAAATATTATTTATAGTAATATATAAGTATACTTTTTCATTTTTATGTTTTCTAATAAATATTCATATATGTTTAATTAAATATGTTAATATATGTTGTAAAAATAGCTGTACACATTTTTGCTGTTAATTATATTAATCTTTATTTATATTTATAATTAGTAATAATTATATTAATATATATGCATATTTTTTTACTTAAAATAATAATAAAATACTTAAAAATACTTAACTTCAATATTCTATAAATGTTTAAATATTTATATTATTTGATTTATATATAAATATATTCTGTAATAAATAGGCTACTAATAAATTGTAAAAGTGGTTTTATACATTTTTGCTGTTAATTATATTAATATTTATTTACATTTACTATATTTATAAAGGGAGAGATCCCTTTAATTATAGCTTTATTTTGTGGTATAAATTCTTTCAGAAGGTTAGCTTGACTTTAGGTTCAATTAGGAGTAGCTTGTAGCCGGAGAAGCTACTTTTAAAATATATTTTGTCAAGACACTTAATTTACAGTAAACTACACTAAACCAAGCAACAAACTGCACTCTTCAAATATGCTAAATTAGAAAATCTAAACTACAGTCATGCTACTGAAAAGTAGGCAGCATCACTAGCTTTAGTTAGCTAGCAAGCTACATTAGCGTCAAATTAGCCGAGCTGGCTTTGATCATCTCACACAGAGTGAAGTCAGTGCGCGTTCGGGAGTGTAATTACCCGCCTTTCTCTCACAAAGGCTAATCCATCACTCTAAAACATCCAATTAGCTAATACTATAATGATAATCAAAGGCCTTTCAATTATTAACGGCCGTAATTTGCTGTCACAGAAAGCAGAAGCCGCCGCGCTCGCATATTAAGGCTGACTCTGAATGTGCTGAGTCTGTCGAGCGTGTCGAGGTGTAGAGATGGAGATTAGTGTTTGTTTTTCAGACCTGTGGGAGGAAAGCCACCGGATAATTATGAGTATTTACTGTTCAGAGACTGTAATTACGGCAGAGGAATCAGAGCCATTACAAGCTCGTAGACCTATATATCGCAATATGCAGATAAAACACATTAGACTTTCTCAGGCAGTGTGTGTTTGTTAAACAGGGCTTCGTGACTTTTATCAGATACTCTTTTTATCATTGTTTTCCTTTTCTCTGTCTCCCCACATGTTCCTGTTCATTGTTATGTATTATTTCATTTTGTACTGAATTATAATTATGTAATAAAAAAGGGATGTCATACTCAGACAGCTTCCCGTCTGCCTCGCTTTGAACCCTGGGAACGTTTCCTTTGACAAATAATGCCGTTCATTTCTGTGATTCAAAATGGAGTCCAGTTATAAAAGTACAATTTCAGGAAATCTCCTCTTCAGGATTTTGAGTTACTCCATATTTCCTTGATGGAAAGATCAAGATATGATTCTGCTTGAATGACATAAATGTGTTCATGAGCGACTCAAATGTTACAAATGTGCGTTCTACTTGAATACGACTAATAAAATCCATTTAAATATGTATATTAAATTATTTCCTAAATTATGTAAAATACTTTTTTACATAATATAGGCTCACTCATTTATTTTATAAGTCATAACTTTTTCCACTGTTTGACCACATGATGACGCTGTACTCTTCAATTTAAGGTCTCTTTTTTATTTAAATAAAAAATTATGTGTGTGTGTGTGTGTGTGTGTGTGTGTGTGTGTGTGTGTGTGTGTGTGTGTGTGTGTGTGTGTGTGTGTGTGTGTGTGTGTGTGTGTGTGTGTGTGTGTGTGTCTTTTTAAATAAATATTATTATAGACCTACTACTCATTTATCCTCCTAAATAACATGTTTTCATGAGCATAAATAAATATAAATTCATATGTATTTAAGATTTAAATACATATTCATGTTTTTACAGATATGTACAAATTAAAAAATAAATACATTAATTATTATTCATTTGAAATTCAAAATTAGCAATAAAAAACCCGAATATAGGCCTAGGTTTACATATAAACAGAAGCGTGTTATTCATAGTCTGACCACACGATGGCGCTGTACTATTATATAAAAGGTCTAGCGTGTTTTAGATAGATAGATGACAACCACTCCATTTGAAATCATGTGTAGGCCTATTCTCGTTTTATGAAACAAGCAGTTAGTTGATATGATATGATATTAATATCCGCACTCACCGAACGCTTTCTTGGGCTCCACCAGGCGCAGGGTGAACGGCGTTCCTCTGGTTTGCTCCTTCAGCATCTTGGCCACTTCATAATGTCGACATCCCACAATGCTCTGGTCATTCACGGCCTCGATGTGATCGCCAACACACACCGTTTTTATCCTGTCAATGGTGCTGTCTTCCTTTATCCTCTGAAAGAAAACATGTACCCTAATATAATGTCCATACATGTCAACATATAAAATGCGTTCTCTGAGCGTTCTGAGACTTTCTTTTAAAGTAGTAAACCGGAATTCAAAAAACGTTCCATGGAACAGGACACAGAACATGTAGGATGTTGGAAAATAACAATGTCTTTTCTGTTCATCAAATGCTTTTTAATCTTCACTATTACTTCAGTGCAAATGAACACGCGGGCCGTTATTAGTTGTGTAGTGACGTGTGTTCATAAGCAGATTCTGTGCAGTACACTATATTTAATAATCATGATGTTCAGTAATTTGCATTAAATCTGTGCAGATTTGTCTGACACGAACTTCCCCAGCAAATTGTGTAATCATAAATAAGTAACACGCCAAATTGGCTCGTGATTTGACAGTGTTTCCCGCCACTGGTGATTTTTACCTGCATTTGCCGGGTGTTACTTTCAAAAACCTGCATGGAACGTTCCATCATCTAACGTTCTGAGAACGTCAAATAACTCTGAACGAACGTTCTATTGCTAGAATGGCGTTTGTTAATAACTTTTAAGAGAACTTGTTGCCAGAACATCTTGTGTTTGTGTAGTAGGCCATAGAACGTTTTTCATTAGAACGGTCCCTGGGTCACGTGATCACTAACACCCACTTTAATGAAGGCGTATCCCGCGCCGTTGTCAGTGATGGTCAGTCCGAGGGCGTCTTCTGTTTTAATGACCTCCACCTCTTTCGTTTCTCCTCTCACATGCGCGAAGATGAAGTCCTCCAGCCCGATCTGGCCGCCCAGCAGCTTCTGCATGTCCACTTTATGGGAGTTTAGCGTGCAGAACAGGATCTGTGTCGGGCGGGGAAACACACGGCTAGTCATTATACACGCGTCAGAGAGAAAACACACACCAAAACATCATTCGTTTTCCACAATGGGGGTTTCCTAGTACTTTTTATTGTAACCCATCTAGAAAATTACTAGGTTTAGGAAGTCAAATATGTAGTTCGCATCGATGAACGTTGATTAAAACATGATCTGTAGTCCTATTACAACTTTTAACTATGCTAGTTCATATGCTAATCCAGTTTGCTAGCTGAGCTGGCAAGTGAGTCCTTCTTGGTTTTCATTTAAATCCTTTTTTATGTTTGTACTAGTCTTAATATGTGCCGAAAAACTAATGATATTACATATTTTTAGCTTTTCGGATGTAGAAATGTGAGTAACGCATGTAGGTTTGTTTATAGTGAACGCATAAGTTGTCTTTCTTCACGCTAAACTTTCGACTCAAACTGAAGCTTGTTTGTGTGTTTGAGATAATAACTCACTCTTCTAGCCTTGACCTCTCGCTCAAATGTTTTGAACAGCTTGTTGAAGGACATTTTCTGTGACGCTTTTGTGCTTTTCACAGTAAAGTGATTTTGAAGAAAACTACAGATAAAACTGGCCGGTTGTGTATGATCTGGTGATAAATAAGCAGGGGCCATTTCTTTTAGATTTCCTTCTCTTTGGGGAAAATATAAACATAACTTTAATGTAATAGTTCATGCTGCCCATTTTTCAAACTCATCGGTTTATGTAAATAATAATATAATGGTTTTATTATTATTTACATAAACCGATTATTATTATTTACATAAACCGCTTAGCAAAAGTAAAAAATGAAATTAAACAAACTTGTCATTATAATAATTTCATGTTTTACTTTTTTACTTTTGCTAAGCAGTGTAATGTCAAAACATATTTATTTATTACTAAACACTTGTAAAATTTAAAAAACATGTATTTATTTATTTACTTTCTTATATATATATATATATATATATGTGTGTGTATATATTTTTTTTATCAGCCACTAGCAAAATATAAAAACTTGTAACATTGTTTTTTTGTTTGTTTATTTATTCCTCATTTTCTTTTCATTTTCTAGTCACTGGCATTTATTTTTGTAACCAACATTTTTTTTTACATTTTTAATAGCTATAATGATCAAGATAAGTAATGGACTGGCAATATATTTTATAGCAAGTTTCAACCACATGTTAACAAGACGTTTACAACCTTAAGAGCAAACTCCAACTGAGAATTGTGTCCTTTGACACGAAAAAGACACTTTGATGAGCATTTTTTATTATTATTTTTATTTATTTTACTTTTGCTATGCAGTGTAACATTAAAACATGTTTATTTATTTCTAGCTAATAGCAATATACGAAAATATATATATATATATATATATATATATTTTATATATTAGCCATTAGCAAAATACCAAAACTTGTAACATTATTTGTTTGTTTGTTTATTGATTCCACATTGTTTTTCATTTACTAGCCACTGGCATATAGAAAATTATTTTAGCAATTTTTGTAACCAAAATAAAATAAAATATACATTTTACAATTTTAATAGCCATAATTATCAAGATAACTAATGGAATGGCAACATATTTTTAAAGCCAACAAGATGTTTACAACCTTAAGAGCAAACTCCAACTGAGATCTCAAGAAAAATGTACAATTTTAATGATATTATTGTATTTGCATCCCAAGTTTGTTGAGTTTGTTTAATTGTAAATATATATATATATATATATATATATATATATATATATATATATATATATATATATATATATTATAGTCCTAAGGATGAAATGAAAATATATGGAATGAAAGTCCTGGGCACAATATGAGAAAGCATTTTGGCCTCTTTTATTTATTTATTTTAAAACTTTTCCTAAGCAGTGTAACATTAAAACATTTTTTAATTATCAGGCACTTGCAAAATATAACAATATTAATTTATTTATTTACTTATTTGTATATATTTTTAAATTTAGCATCCACTAGCAAAATACAAAAACTTGTAACATTGTTTGTTTGTTTATTTATTCCTCACTGTTTTTCATTTACTAGCCACTGGCATATATGAATGCCCCCCCCCCCCCCACAAAAAAAATACATTTTACACTTTTAACAGCCATAATAATCAAGATAACTAAAGGAATGGCACTATATTTTATAGCAAGTTTCAACCACCTATGTAAACAAGACTTTTACAACCTTAAGAGCAAACTCCAACTGAGATCTCAAGAAACAAATGATGAATTTCATCCTTTTTTATTTTTTTGACATGAAAAAGCCACTTTGATGCGTCTGAAAGGCCAGGAAGACTCACGGTACCTCCGAGGCCGAGATGTTGAAGACCTCTGCGATCTTGGCGTAGAGCTCCCTCACGTTGGTGAAGCCGTGGATGCGTCCCGTCGGGGATCCGTGCGCCAGCTGCGTGTGAAACACCAGTTTGGGCCTCGGGCACGGCGTGGACTCGAGCGGCGGGGCCGATGGGACGGTTCTCTGGCTCTCCTCGTCCTCCGGGGAACCTTTGGAGTCCTGCACGTCGGGACTCATGGCCTCTCCGTTCGGCATGGGCTCGCGGTCGCTCGTCCTGTTCTCCGTGTCCTGCTGCATGGTGAAGAGCGTCTGTATCGGGTCTGGCGTGTTGAATTAAAGATGAGGGTAGCCGGGCAACGCTGCACAGGTGAGCGCTCCCAGTGAACCCGACACCACTGGAGCTGGAGATCTGCTGTGTGACACTGGAGAGCCGGACGAACACCTGAAGTGAAGCGACGCGGCGGAGAGCCGGCTGACCATCTGTCCGTGTGCTGGCGACAGGGCCCATACTCACACCACACACTCCAGAGCCGGCGCGTGTGTGTGTTTGGTCTGCTGGAGGGGATCGGCTGGTTTCTTGATTGAAGGGATAGATCATCCCAAAAGAAAATAAATTCTGCTTTGTCCTTCTCTCACAGCTCTGAAATGAGTGAACTAAAAGTTGTTGTTTATTAAAACAAAATTATGGGTGAACTATCCCTTTAAAGCCGATAGATAGATAGATAGATAGATAGATAGATAGATAGATAGATAGATAGATAGATAGATAGATAGATAGATAGATAGATAGATAGATAGATAAATGGATAGACAGAGACAGATAGATAGATAGATAGATAGATGGATAGACAGACGGATGGATAGATAGATGGACAGACAGATGATAGATATAGATAGATAGATGATGGATAGATAGATAGAATAGAATAGATAAATGGATAGATAGATAGACAGATGCACTTTTATGATGGATAGATGCACTTTTATGATGAATAGATGCATTTTTATGATGGACAGATGCACTTTTATGATGGATAGATGCATTTTTATGATGGATAGATGCATTTTTATCATGGATAGATGCACTTTTATGATGGATAGATGCATTTTTATGATGGATAGATGCACTTTTAGGATGGACAGATGCACTTTTATGATGGACAGATGCACTTTTATGATGGATAGATGCACTTTTATGATGGACAGATGCACTTTTATGATGGACAGATGCACTTTTATGATGGATAGATGCATTTTTATGATGGATAGATGCATTTTTATCATGGATAGATGCACTTTTATGATGGATAGATGCATTTTTATGATGGATAGATGCATTTTTATCATGGATAGATGCACTTTTAGGATGGACAGATGCACTTTTATGATGGACAGATGCACTTTTATGATGGATGCACTTTTATGATGGACAGATGCACTTTTATGATGGACAGATGCACTTTTATGATGAATAGATGCATTTTTATAATGGATAGATGCATTTTTATGATGAATAGATGCATTTTTATCATGGATAGATGCACTTTTATCATGGATAGATGCACTTTTATGATGAATAGATGCATTTTTATGATGGATAGATGCATTTTTATGATGGATAGATGCATTTTTATCATGGATAGATGCACTTTTATCATGGATAGATGCACTTTTATGATGGATAGATGCATTTTTATGATGGATAGATGCACTTTTATGATGGATAGATGCATTTTTATCATGGATAGATGCACTTTTATCATGGATAGATGCACTTTTATGATGGATAGATGCATTTTTATGATGGATAGATGCATTTTTATGATGGATAGATGCATTTTTATCATGGATAGATGCACTTTTATGATGGATAGATGCATTTTTATGATGGATAGATGCATTTTTATCATGGATAGATGCACTTTTATGATGAATAGATGCATTTTTATGATGGATAGATGCACTTTTATGATGGATAGATGCATTTTTATGATGGATAGATGCACTTTTAAGATGGACAGATGCACTTTTATGATGGACAGATGCACTTTTATGATGGACAGATGCACTTTTATGATGGACAGATGCACTTTTATGATGAATAGATGCATTTTTATGATGGATAGATGCATTTTTATCATGGATAGATGCACTTTTATCATGGATAGATGCACTTTTATGATGGATAGATGCATTTTTATGATGGATAGATGCACTTTTATGATGCACTTTTATGATGGGCAGATGCACTTTTATGATGGATAGATGCACTTTTATGATGGATGGATGCACTTTTATGATGGATAGATGCACTTTTATGATGGACAGATATACTTTTATGATGGACAGATGCACTTTTATGATGGACAGATGCACTTTTATGATGGATAGATGCACTTTTATGATGGACAGATATACTTTTATGATGGACAGATGCACTTTTATGATGGATAGATGTACTTTTATGATGGACAGATGCACTTTTATGATGGACAGATGCACTTTTATGATGGATAGATGCACTTTTATGATGGATAGATGCACTTTTATGATGGACAGATATACTTTTATGATGGACAGATGCACTTTTATGATGGATAGATGCACTTTTATGATGGATAGATGCACTTTTATGATGGACAGATGCACTTTTATGATGGATAGATGCACTTTTATGATGGATTGATGCACTTTTATGATGGACAGATATACTTTTATGATGGATAGATGCACTTTTATGATGGATAGATGCACTTTTATGATGGACAGATGCACTTTTATGATGGACAGATGCACTTTTATGATGGATAGATGCACTTTTATGATGGACAGATGCACTTTTATGATGGACAGATGCACTTTTATGATGGATAGATATACTTTTATGATGGACAGATGCACTTTTATGATGGATAGATGCACTTTTATGATGGATAGATGCACTTTTATGATGGACAGATGCACTTTTATGATGGATAGATGCACTTTTATGATGGATAGATGCACTTTTATGATGGACAGATGCACTTTTATGATGGATAGATGCATTTTTATGATGGACAGATGCACTTTTATGATGGATAGATGCACTTTTATGATGGACAGATATACTTTTATGATGGACAGATGCACTTTTATGATGGATAGATGCACTTTTATGATGGATAGATGTACTTTTATGATGGACAGATGCACTTTTATGATGGACAGATGCACTTTAATGATGGATAGATGCACTTTTATGATGGATAGATGCACTTTTATGATGGACAGATATACTTTTATGATGGACAGATGCACTTTTATGATGGATAGATGCACTTTTATGATGGATAGATGCACTTTTATGATGGACAGATGCACTTTTATGATGGATAGATGCACTTTTATGATGGATTGATGCACTTTTATGATGGACAGATATACTTTTATGATGGATAGATGCACTTTTATGATGGATAGATGCACTTTTATGATGGACAGATGCACTTTTATGATGGACAGATGCACTTTTATGATGGATAGATGCACTTTTATGATGGACAGATGCACTTTTATGATGGACAGATGCACTTTTATGATGGATAGATGCACTTTTATGATGGACAGATATACTTTTATGATGGACAGATGCACTTTTATGATGGATAGATGCACTTTTATGATGGATAGATGCACTTTTATGATGGACAGATGCACTTTTATGATGGATAGATGCACTTTTATGATGGATAGATGCACTTTTATGATGGACAGATGCACTTTTATGATGGATAGATGCATTTTTATGATGGATAGATGCACTTTTAAAATGGATAGATGCACTTTTATGATGGATGGATGCACTTTTATGATGGACAGATGCACTTTTATGATGGATAGATGCACTTTTATAATGGACAGATGCACTTTTATGATGGACAGATGCACTTTTATGATGGACAGATGCACTTTTATAATGGACAGATGCACTTTTATGATGGACAGATGCACTTTTATGATGGACAGATGCACTTTTATGATGGACAGATGCACTTTTATGATGGACAGATGCACTTTTATGATGGATAGATGCACTTTTATGATGGATAGATGCACTTTTAGGATGGATAGATGCACTTTTATGATGGACAGATGCACTTTTATGATGGATAGATGCACTTTTATGATGGACAGATGCACTTTTATGATGGATAGATGCACTTTTATGATGGACAGATATACTTTTATGATGGACAGATGCACTTTTATAATGGACAGATGCACTTTTATGATGGATAGATGCACTTTTATGATGGACAGATGCACTTTTATGATGGACAGATGCACTTTTATAATGGACAGATGCACTTTTATGATGGATAGATGCACTTTTATGATGGACAGATGCACTTTTATGATGGACAGATGCACTTCTATGATGGATAGATGCACTTTTATGATGGACAGATGCACTTTTATGATGGATAGATGCACTTTTATGATGTACAGATATACTTTTATGATGGACAGATGCACTTTTATAATGGACAGATGCACTTTTATGATGGATAGATGCACTTTTATGATGGACAGATATACTTTTATGATGGACAGATGCACTTTTATAATGGACAGATGCACTTTTATGATGGATAGATGCACTTTTATGATGGATAGATGCACTTTTATGATGGACAGATGCACTTTTATGATGGACAGATGCACTTTTATGATGGATAGATGCACTTTTATGATGGATAGATGCACTTTTATGATGGATAGATGCACTTTTATGATGGACAGATGCACTTTTATGATGGACAGATGCACTTTTATGAAGGACAGATGTACTTTTATGATGGATAGATGCACTTTTATGATGGATAGATGCACTCTTATGATGGATAGATGCACTTTTATGATGGACAGATGCTCTTTTATGATGGACAGATGCACTTTTATGATGGATAGATGCACTTTTATGATGGATAGATGCACTTTTATGATGGACAGATGCACTTTTATGGACTTCAAAACAGCTAAACTTATAAAGCTTGGAAGAGCCAGGACATTTTTTAATATAACTCTGATTGTATTCGTCTGAAAGAAGAATGTCATATACACCTAGGATGACTTGAGGGAGAGTAAATCATGGGATAATTTTCATTTTTGGGTGAACTATCCCTTTAAATGACAGAAGTCTCCATGAGGAACGTCCAGAGGTCAGATGGACACCAGGAACTGGTCCTGATATCTGTCATGTAGTGGTTCAGTCACAGTGCCAGTTTGAGTGTAACCCGAGCCACAGTCGACTCCTTCCTCCATGTACTGACTGCACACACAGACACACACTCTGCACACGCTATGTTTTATGCATGAAAGGGCGTATGCAGGTCATGAGATGTCATGTGACACAGTCATGTGATCAAAGCAATGGTGTGATCCGAGGAAAAAATTTTGAAATGGAATTTTTGTGCAGAAGAGCATGATGTGATTACCAAATAATGAGGCAGTGTTTCATGTCATGAAAAACAGATGATAGATAGATAGATAGATAGATAGATAGATAGATAGATAGATAGATAGATAGATAGATAGATAGATAGATAGATAGATAGATAGATAGATAGATAGACAAACAGACAGACAGACAGACAGACAGACAGATAGATAGATAGATAGATAGATAGATAGATAGATAGATAGATAGATAGATAGATAGACAGACAGACAGACAGACAGACAGACAGACAGACAGACAGACAGATATTCACTATATACTACATAAACCCACAAGTGTCACATAGACCAATTTATATGCAACCTGTTAATCTATACATTCATATAATTTTTAGTCTATTTAATCTCAAATCCACCTCTAGTGATTATTTAGACACACATAATGTGTTAAAGCTCATGACCGTATGAAAACATGTAAAAACACAAGCCCAGTCAGTCAGTAAAACAGACGCACAGTGTATAATCAACCATTCACAAGACACTAGTTCCCCACCCAGACTTCCTCCCCCTACCACCACGTTGTATGCGGACACGCGTCCTGTCCATAAAAGGGCATGGGAGGAGTCCAAACTCGAGTCCCGCGCCGTGATTGGGCGGCGCGACTGATCAGATGCGCGCTGATTGGCTCTCAGCACTTGGTCCGATTTTGTCTCATTTTGTTAATCAGGCCGCGCTCATGGGACGCCGGAGAGAAACCGGATCATCGCATCCTCGTTAAACGGCGTGTTTTTGTCGGCGTGTGTCGGTTTGTGTAGAGGAAGAATGCTGGAAAATAAGAGGGAGAGATTGAAAACATTTCTGAGGAAGATCGACGAGAGCGCCATATCGCGAATCAAGCATTTAATGAAAGAGAGGTGAGTGACCGTTATCAGCTGTTCGACATCCGAGAATACAATATGCGCAGCGCATTTAAATATGTTAATGTTGTGTTTATATTATAACTATAAGGTCTTAGTGTGTTTGCTGCGATCAGACGTTGTGCAATGATATAGGTCAGAAGGATGTTGTTTTATAGTCACAAACCACTGTGTGTGTGTGTGTGTGTGTGGCGCGTGCGTGCGTGATGACATTATTGCTTCCTGATGACTGATTTATCTTATTCAGATAAAGATTAGAGATTATTTAATCGCTACTTCATGTGTCTGTATAGTATAATTATTTGTTTATCATTTTTCGTTCTAGCTTGTTTTCCACATTAAATAGGTCTACCCATCATTATTGTTTTATTTCATTCCCTTTACTGTGGTACTGCCATGGTACAGGGATGACATTAGGTGTTAATACCATGGTATTTTCTTATTTAAAACATGGTGTTTACATCCCTTACAAAAAGTGCCAATGTGTTGTTTTTAATTTACCATGACATTGACATAATAATACCATGACAACATTACTACCTTATTTAAGGTGGACGTTGACGCAATTTTCTTCTAGAAACAAACTTTGTTGTATTATTTTCATGTTATCACTGTGAAGCTACTTTGATACAATCTGTATTGTAAAAAGCGCTTATAAATAAAGGTGACTTAACTTGACTTGACATAATTTTCATATGCACCACAATAATACCATAGTTTTACCATGTACCATGCCAGTATGTTTTTGGACATACTATGTATGAACTATGGTATTATCATGGTGTGTATAGCTTGTCATCCATCTTGTAAACCTCCAAACGCCTAAAAACTAGCCCTGCAGCATAATCTAATATCTGCCTTTTATGTGTACTCAAGTGTTCTTGTTGGTATTAGAGTCGTTAAGCCGGTATTGTAAATGGATCACATCCCTCATGCTAATGTACAGGTATTACTGAGCTAGTTTTAGACTAGAGCTGATTTCCCTGCCTCACATTTTCCAATCGCGGAGTTATTTATGACTGAGATCCATTTATGGATGGAAAATATAACTTATCTTATACCAAATCAGTCCAGATATTCGTACACCTGTATAGTGTGATCCTGCATGGATGGACGTTACCCTCATCTGTGATTGTGACATAAACAAACCAATCTTCATCACAATTATGCTCTAAATTCGTAACCTTCGTCAAGGCGTGAGTTTTCCATTCACTTGGGCAATTTAAATACGAATTGACCTCTTTTTTGGCCAAACTGTTTTGTCTTCAATGGTGGTTCTAAATGTAATTTGGAGCAGGAATGTGTCATAATCAAATTGCGGCATGCGCTAAATGCCGTCATTACATCACAATGCCTCATAAGTGGTTTAGATTGACAAGCGTTTCTCCAGATGATCTCATGGGTCCTCCATTGTATTGGTTGTCCAACACATGTGGGTCATTTTATCTGTCGGCGCTCTATTTTTAGACCAAAAGCTTGTTCCAGGTGTGGGAAAGTTGTCTGGTCTAATTTTGCATCCCACTGGAATTGTGTTGGCTTCTCCGGGCCTTGTAAAGAAAACTATGGGCCCACAATTCCTTGGCCGCTTATCGTTCATATAGATAACCGGTAAAGGACATAAAGCTATAATTGTGGTCTTACACAACTTCTTTGGAAACTCAGTCTTACACAAGAAACACCTAACTGTATTTTGATAGAGTTGAGGTCATTCGGGTTAGCTATTTTCCCATAAATATGTAATTTCCCAGCAGATTCTTGATTCTTTGTTAACATGTTGCCTTCAAAAGTCAAACAAACGTCTCGATCTTCCAGTTCGAGAAGCATTTCGCCCTGAATTGGTAAAATCCACTTAAAATAACCCATGACACATTAATGACCTTGACCTATACTGAAGATTTGCATTTCCCCAAGACATAAATGTGCCAAAAGAACAAGATATGATCAGTTTCATGTGATTCTCGGGTGGAGTTTCCAGTCTTCTTTTGGACTGGATTGGTCCATGGAAAGAAAGACCTCTTTCTGTTTAGAGCAGTTACATTGAGGAAGTCAGACAGATGCATTCAAATCACATGACTTGCACAAATGTCCTCTGTGTTGAAGGGTTGGCCCCCTTCCACAAGTGGCAAGCTGTTGTTTGCTGACAGGGATTGGTGTTGGCTCCGATCGGACCATGTGGCTCGATAGATGTCAAGGCACAATCCTCTTTCTACGCCTTTGTTTGTAGTCAATAACTCTGGTTTCAAGATTACACCCGTTTTTAAGAGTCTCTTAAGAGTTAACATGGCAAGTGCCCTTTTTTTCGTTGGGTAATCTTGATTCTTTAGACCAAATCCTAGTGTAGTTTGGAAGCTTTATTTGTGCTTTGTATCCACCCTCTTCTTGTAGTTTCTATGTTTAGATTTGGTTTTTTAGAGGTATAGGAGTTCTTGTGGATTATTGCCTATATGGTAGAACTCAACATAAGTTATAATGTGGTTAACACTTAACCTTTTCTCTGCACACACCCACTCAGATCATTTATCACACCGACCTTCAATTCTTTACATGTGGTTTGACCGTATTCTCGCTATTTCCGCTCTAGTCCATTCATTTTGTCAGCAGGGAAATACATGACTTGCTCAACTGGTAAACTCCAACTTGAAAATGATCTATGGTTTTCCTGGTGTGCAACCCTGGCACAATTCAACCTGTCGCTCTCTGATTTACATGTTGGCTTCTTGGCAGCAAACTCGAACCGCATTCAGTTCCTCCCTTGCATCCACCAATGGTGATCTAGTACCCTTGTGTCTTTCAGAGCGTGCATATCTTCTGCTTAGGCTATGTAATGAAAACTGACCTGATATTCTCAATATCATGTTATGCTGATACTAGTGTGCTCCAAAAACACTCGCTTAATCTTCAACCGTTAGAACATGGCGTCTTGTTTATTACCCAAAGTACAGAATGCACTGAGGAGTGCTGATAAAAATAAGTGCAGAACTTGAGACAAAGATTTGAAGACTTTGTTTTTACGGCCTCCACAAGGATCTTCAAGCTATCTTCAGTGATTCACCAATGAGCTAATGGGTTTTCATTGTCAGACATGAGCGTTAAAAGCTTGTGTAATGTACATTTGGCCAGGGATGATTCATAATGATTTCATTTGTCATGGCACTAGGAGGTCAGGTGTCAGATGGAGAAAAGGTTCAATGGTAGTTGAACTGGAACTTGCTGTTGTCCACATATTAGATTGGTGGCAAGTCTGAATTCCCAGTGTACAGCATGACTTTTGTCAACACTTCTTCCTGGTGTGTGTTAATTGTGTATTATTGTGTTGGTTCCCCTTGTATCTGTACTGAGAAAAGTTCAACTTTTAACAGAAATCAGAAATCTTGGTTGTTGATGAACTTTTATGCTGTGTCTGGTTACCCGTTTTGTTTTGTATGATTTTGCATTTGTGTAGATTTGGAATTGATTATAATAGCTTTTTTTGCACTCTCAAAATCAGAATCTTTTAGAAATAAGGGTGTAACGATGCCCTCATGTCATGATTCGATACATATCACGATACTGAACTCATGATACGATATTATTGCGATACTCCAAGATATATGGTAAAAGGTTAATGTTTTCTTTTACTGTTCATTAAAATGTTAGATTTGTTATTACATTGTGTGTGTAAATGAATAGACTTGGACTTGGTGCTGGAAACCCAAAGCACAGGACAATAGAGACACCAGAATAACAATATTCATGATTCTGAAGCTGAAAATACATTTTTAGATGAATATGCTTGCACTCTTTCTTTGATTGGATATATTTACAATAATGTAGGCCATTTTTACTGGTAACCTCAGATATTTGGGATTATCAGGACCCACAAATATTCCCCCGTCGATTTATTATATATTATATTCAACATTATAGTAGTTTAATGCAGTACTACTGACACTAAAACTCTGAAAACTTGAATTTTTTTCTCACACAGTCATTTTTATTTTGGGTGAACTATAGCCTACACAATATTGTCACTATCCACAGTACATATTGTTGCGTTTTTGTATTGCGATATATTGTGACACGATATATTGTTACAACCCTAGTTAGGAAAGCATGTTCAGGTTCAGTCATAAACCTGTTTAGTTCATACTGAAACCTTGGAAAAGGAAAATGTACTTTCTAATCTACAATTTGCTTCCAATATTGGTCAGATCTTTGGTTTGGTTGTGGAGGTCTTGCTTCAGATTTCCCATGGGTTTGTTGACGACCTACCCCATCACAAAGACAATAGCTTGGCCTTTGTTTGGTCTTCGTTTTTGTCTTCAGTAGTTTGCATTCTTTCAATGGTATTTAAATGGGCTATTATGAGATGCCACCATCACCCACTCGTTTCCAAGGAAACCCCAGCTGGTGAGCGGAGTGGGCCGGCGGAGGATTGTTTTAGCCCTCCCTCGGCTTCAACTTTAACTTCCTTGTGCTTCATTATCTCATTTTTTCCCGAAGGCCTGATCGAGCTGTGCTTGTGTAACGGAGCAGCTGTAAAGCAAACCTTTAGACCTCATTGCTCAGCAACTGGCTGAAAGTGATTCAGTAAAGTCCGAGAGCTGGGAAGACGTGGCGATGGATCGCGAGAAGGACTCGAGTCGCATGGACACGGTTGTGTGTGAGGATTTGAGAAGGTAGGAGACGGTTATAACGTGGTCTGTGGGATATATAGTCGTGATCGGTGTGGGAAGCAGCTGGGAATACGTCATTGAACCCACATGTTTTGGGGGATTGATTTGTTATTGTTGCTGGTGGATTGAATCTGAACAACTGGTTTTGTTTGGTTATGGGAGTAGGCCTATATTGTTGCAGCTTTCGAACTAGAAACAAATTGAGTAGTTCATGGAATCAAATTCCTTCTTTATTCATAAAGGAAGCAAGAAAATCATTTTCATTTTTTTGTCATTTCCAAAGAATGTACTTTCATTCTCAGCACAAAGGGAAGCGTGATGAAAGTTTATTGCTGGGAACAG